ATCTTCGACAGAAGAGCTGAGGGCCTACAATGGAGAAAAGAAAGTCTCTTCAACAAATGGTGCTGGGAAAACTGGACAGCCACATGTAAAAAAATGAAAATTGACCTTTTTCACCATTCACAAAAATAAACTCAAAATGGATCAAAGACCTAAAGATAAGACATGAAACCATAAGGCTTCTAGAAGAAAATATAGGCAGTACACTCTTTGATGTCAGTATCAAAAGGATCTTTTCGGACACCACGTCTTCTCAGACAAGGGAAACAATAGAAAGAATAAACAAATGGGACTTCATCAGACTAAGGAGCTTCTTCAAGGCAAGAGAAAACAGGATTGAAACAAAAAAACAATCCACCAATTGGGAAAAAATATTTGCAAGTCATATATCTGACAAAGGGTTAATCTCCATAATATATAAAGAACTCACACAACTCAACAAAAAAACAACCTGATCAAAAAATGGGCAGGGGACATGAACAGACGTTTCTCCAAAGAAGATATATGGATGGCCAGTAGACACGTGAAAAGATGTTCATCATCACTGACCATCAGGGAAACGCAAATCAAAACTACACTAAGATATCACCTTACACCTGTTAGAACGGAAAAAATAACCAAAACAAAAAGTAACAAATGTAGGAGAGGTTGTGGAGAAAAAGGAACCCTCATATACTGCTGCTGGGAATGCAAACTGGTGCAGTCACTATGGAAATCAGTATGGAGATTTCTCAAAAAATTAAAAATAGAAATACCATATGACCCAGCCATCCCACTATTGGGTATCTATCCAAAGAGCTTAAAGTCAGCAGTTCCAAATGTCCCATGCACCCCTATGTTCATTGCAGTATTATTTACAGTAGCCAAGACGTGGAAGCAACCTAAGTGCCTATCAATAGATGATTGGATAAAGAAGAAATGGTATATATATACACAGTGGAATATTACTCAGCCATGAAAAAGGATAAAAGCATCCCATTCACAACCACATGGCTGGATCTTGAAGGTGTTATGTTAAGTGAAATAAGCCAGATAGAGTAAGACAATCTCTGCATGACTTCATTCATAAGTGGAATTTAAGTAGACAAAGAGAACAGATTAGTGGTTACCAGGGGAAAGGGAGGGTGGGGAGTGGGCACAAAGGGTGAAGTGGTGCACCTGTAACACGACTGACAAATAATAATGTACAAGTGAAATTTCACCAGGTTGTAAGCTATTATAATCTCAACAAAAAGTAAAAAAAAAAGAAAAAACCCACAATGAGATACCGTCTCATCCCCTTTAGGATGGCTATATCAAAAAAACAGAAAATACGTGTTGGCTAGGATGTGGAGAAATTGGAACGTTTTGTGCTGTTGGTGGGAATGTAAAATGTACAGCTGCTGTGGAGAACAGTATGGTGGTTTGTCAAAAAAATTAAAAATAGATGCAACAGTTCCATTTCTGGGTATATACCCAAAATAATTGAAAGTGGGGTGTTGAAGAAATATTTGTACACCCATATTCATAGCAGCATTATTCACAGTAGCTAAAACTTGGAAACAACCCCAGTGTCCATCAGTGCATGAATGGCTAAGCAAAATGTGATATATACGTACAATAGCATATTACTCAACCTTAAAAAAGGAGGACGTTCTGACTCATGCTAGAGTGTGGATGAACCTTGAGGACTTAGTGCTAAGTGAAATAAGCCAATCGCAAAAATACAAGTACTCGGACTGGCCCGGTGGTGCAGCGGTTAAGTTCGCACGTACTGCTTCTCAGTGGCCTGGGTTTCGTAAGTTCAGATCCTGGGTGCGGGCTTGGCACGCCATGCTGTGGTAGGCGTCCCACATATAAAGTAGAGGAAGATGGGCACAGATGTTAGCTCAGGGCTAATCTTCCTCCAAAAATAAAAAAAAAGAGATAAGTACTGTATGATTCCAATTACGTGAAGTACCTAGAGTAGTCAAAAATCATAGAGACAGAAAGTAGAATGATGGTTTCTAGGGGCTGAGGATCGGGAGAATGGGGAGTTACAGTGTAATGTGTATAGAGTTTTAGTTTTTCAAGATGAAAAGAGTTCTGGAGATGGATGGTGATGATAGGTGCACAACAATATGAATGTGCTTAATTAATACCACTTAACTGTACACTTAAAAATGGTTAAGATGATAAATTTCATGTTATTTGTATTTTACCACAATAAAAAACTCATTAAAAAGAAACATGCTTGTTGTTAAGGCATATTAAGGATCTAATTCAATACCCATTTTTGTTCTTACTAGTTAGTAGGCACTGTGGTGTGTCCTGAGAATAAAGATGATTAAGTCACAGTTGTACATGCCAAGAAGGTCACAGTAAAAAATGGCAGACTTGGAAGTAAATTATTCTGGAATGTGAGAAGTGGATAATAGAAGGAGAGAGAAATTAATTTTGTGAGAGTCAGGGAAGTTTCTATCAGCTTAGCAAAACGCAGCAACTGCAGAACAAAAGGAGAGCATTTATTCGGGGTCTTAGAATTGCAATTTGGGGAACGCAGGTTCCTTCAGCAGCCAGAAAAGTATCCCGTTGAGGAGTAAAAGTCTGGAGTCTTTATTAGCAAAAAGGAGAGCCCAGACCAGTCGCCTCAGTTGTTTTAGGGAGGGTAGATTTATGTTACAGGTCATTGGCTTACTCAAGGACATTTTGTTGCCACCAGAAAAGGTATATTTTTGGACAGTCCTTCAGAAAGCCCTTTCTCAGCAAATAACTCCCTTTTGCCAAGTGAGCAGGGTCAGCACAATTTCATGTTTTTAACAAGATGGAGTCCAGGGTACAAAATGGAGTCACTGTTGTCAACTTGCTTCGCATTTCATAGGAGAGGGATTTCTTCAGCTGAGTTTTTAAGGATGTGTATTTTCAAGCCAACAAGATAAAAAATAAGAGCATTGAAGTCTGGAGAGCAGCATATGAACATACAGGGTAAAATCAGTTGATAAGTTAGAGTTTTTTATGTGAAGGAACCATGGCAGCAGATGAGTCTGGAATGGTCCACAGAAGTAGGTTTTAAAATAGGTTTGTTCTATATAGTAGAGTTACATCAAAGAGTTTTAAACATAAATTTTGTGTTTTATAGAGAGAATTCTGTGTTTTGTGTGAAGAATAGATTGAGATAAGAATAAACTGGCGGACGGGGCCGGCCCTGTGGCCGAGTGGTTAAGTTCGTGCGCTCAGCTCCGGCGGCCCGAGGTTTTCCCGGTTTGGATCCTGGGCGTGGACATGGCACCACTCATCAGGTCATGTTGAAGTGGCATCCCATGTGCCACAACTAAAAAAAATATACAGCTATATACTAGGGGAGGAAAAAGCAGGAAAAAAACAATAAGCTGGAGTTAGGGTGAGCTCAATAGGTCAGGTGGGTGAGAATGAAGGCCTGAAGGAGTTAGTGGTGGAACTGGTGAAGAGAAGAGAGATGAGCATAAATTGAGGAGTAAAAGCCACAGAATTTGGTGCTTGCATAGAGGGGCGCAGGGAAAGGAAGCAGGTGAGCTTGACTTGCGGAAACTGTTCTTGTTGACCATGTGGTCTGTGGTTCTGCCAGCTAAGATGGGGAAGACTGGAACAAGAGCAGGTTTTGGAGATCCGTTTTAGATTTAGTTTGAGGCCTCTTCACAAATCTCCTTTAGGTAACCTTTTGGAGGTCAGCTATAACGTTGTCCCTCAACATCTCATCTGGTGCCAGTATCAGACAGAATCATGAGCTATATGTTTTAGGTTTATTTGGAATACTTAAGATGAATTCAAAAGAAAACAACAAAACCTGTCAGTTAAAGGCTTTGTGCAACTGAGGTTTTCTAATTTAGAAGGAAAACCTGGAAATAAATTTGTTTTTTAGTGTGTGTATGTATTTTCCAGAATCTTTAAGTTTTTCTTGTGTATTTACTTTTGACATATATATTAGGGTTTTAAATTTTGCAGGGTTTTTTAAACATAAGTAAATTGTTGCAGGACCTGCATAAAAGTGTTTCAGTAGCAGTTTTCTAATAACAGTAAATGCATGATACACTTCATACATCATTCCTGTTTGCATTCAGTGAGTGCTAGTGGATTGAGGATCCCTTTTTTTTTTTCTTAAGATTTTACTTTTCCTTTTTCTCCCCAAAGCCCCCTGGTACATAGTTGTGTATTTTTAGTTGTGGGTGCTTCTAGTTATGGCATGTGGGACGCTGCCTCAGCGTGGCCTGATGAGCGGTGCCATGTCCGTGTCCAGGATCCAACCAGTGAAAACCTGGGCCACCGAAGCGGAGCACACAAACTTAACCACTCGGCCACGGCGCCAGGCCCGAGGATCCCTTTCTTAACAGAAGGAGTACTCTAGTTAGGCTTAAAAATTGTAACAGAAGGGCCAGCCGAGTCGCATAGTGGTTAAGTTTGCAGCTCTGCTTCCATGGCCTAGGGTTTTCGGTTTCAGATCCTGAGCACGGACCTACACACTGCTCATCAAGTCGTGCTGTGGTGGCGTCCCACATATAAAATAGAGGAAGATTGGCACACATGTTAGCTCAAGGTCAGTCTTCTTCACCAAAAAAAAAAAGTGAAACAGAAAATAAATCTGGTTTGGGGATTAGGAAGATCTTCTTAAATCTAAGGTTCTGAAATATTGAAATGTGTTACTAAAGAGGTTAAGATACACACACACACAAAGAAAAAAACAAATTTTTGTGTGTGTGTGAAAAGTTTGTTTTTCTGGGATATTGGGTGGATGAATATATGCAAACTTTTTTTGCAAAATCTTTTGCTGCTCAGAGGCACACGAGTTGAATCTTAAATCTTTCATGTGATAGTTTGCCAGTTTCTTTATGCTCAAGGTTGACAGGTAAGAAAACTCCTAACTTGGTTTAGCTGAAATATTCGTAAGGTGGAAGTACTGCCAAATCGTGGTTTCCTACCTTTTCAAGAATGGTTGTCAAATCGTTGTGGACTCCTGTATGAGTGGCTTTACTTTTAATATCTGTTTGAGAAAATATGCCAAGACCAAAAACTATTTTGAAATCAGCAACTGTTTGTTTTAATGTATTTAAACACATTAAATGTATTTAATCACAGCAGTGGTTATCTGTGTTATCTTTGAAAAGTAATTCAAATAATTCCAAGTACCATGTGGATTTTCAGACCACTTGCAAGAACTAGAGTCCACCAGGGCCTGGGACCGTGGGTTCAGAACCACGGCTCTGGAGAGAATCTTAGAGCAGGCTTACTTCTGGATGTTAAAATTGGAAATGGAGTATGGAAGAATATAAAAAAGGGTATATAATGTAAAAATTCTTCGTGAAATTTTTTTAAATGGAAAAAAGTTTATACAGTTGTATCATAATTTAACATTTTCCTAACGTTAACTTACTGTCATGGCTGATAAAGTAGGAGTAATGAGGAATTGAACTACTTCTGATAAAACTATTGGTCCAATATAGGTGTGATGTGATATATTGATCCAGGTTCATCATTTATCTTTGGAGTTAATTGCTATTCAAGTGAATTTCTAATTATTTTCTTGGTTCCATTTTGTTTCCTTTTCTCACATTACTCTGATTCTTGGTGAATTATAGCTTCAAGTTTATTTTTCTTTCTAAAATATTCACTAAGTCAGGTTTAAATGCTGATGTTTAGGATAAAGATGGAGATAGAGCCGTTCATCACGCAGCCTTTGGAGATGAAGGGGCTGTGATAGAGGTCCTACACCGAGGCAGCGCTGACTTGAATGCTCGCAACAAGCGCCGACAGACACCGCTTCATATTGCTGTCAATAAAGGCCATCTTCAAGTTGTGAAGACTTTATTGGATTTTGGCTGTCATCCCAGTCTTCAGGTAAAACCTTTAAAAAAAAAATATGTTCCACAGGTATTGCTAGAGTCCTATTAAAGGGAAGTACTAGGTTCTGTGGGAAGCATTTCTTTGTTATCAGTTCTTTTTCATACAGCCATAGTAAATGATACGAAAGGTGTAGAACGTAATAAAATTGGCAGCTATTCCTTCTTAGAAAAGCCTTTTTTAAGAAAGTGTCGGTAGATCAGTTTTATTTTGGGGAATGGGGATGGGGCCTTGAAGTGTAATTGGCTGCATTTCATGATAGTTACTTCATAACTGTCTAAATTATTTTAATTGTAGCTTAATTTATCTTAGAGTCTTGATCTAGTCATTAGTCTAGTCTTGGAAGATTTCCTGTTTGGAAAATATGTAGTGTTTTACGGTTGATTTACACTAGGGTCTACTTTCTTTTTTTTTTTAAGATTTTATTTTTTCCTTTTTCTCCCCAAAGCCCCCCGGTACATAGTTGTATATTCTTTGTTGTGGGTCCTTCTAGTTGTGGCATGCGGGACGCTGCCTCAGCGTGGTTTGATGAGCAGTGCCATGTCCGCGCCCAGGATTCGAACCAACGAAACACTGGGCCGCCTGCAGCGGAGCGCAGGAACTTAACCACTCGGCCACGGGGCCAGCCCCTAGGGTCTACTTTTTGAAGCAAGAGTCCTCTAAGAAGTGATTCTTTCCATCCAAAGTTTTAGCAACCAGGTGAATTAAACTGGATAGTTCTTAGAAAAGTAATGAAGAAGAACAACTGAGGACTGAGGGTTTGAGAAGAACTGAAAGAATTGGAGATTTTGTTCGGCTAGATGGTTATTACAGACTAGAATTTCTGAGGTTCAGCCATTTTGGAACTGCCAGCTTTTAAGTGGATGGCAGAGTTGGAGGACGGAGGAGGAACTTGGGGGTGCTAATCTGTTGAGAGGGAGGGAATTTATACCTGCTGACTTTTTTTTGGTCTGAAATGGGAGGCATAGTCATCTGTTGAGATTGAATGGAGAGTGGTAGATATAGAAAGGGTAATTGAGAAGAGTGATAAAGGTTTTGAATAGCTACTGTGGGGACCAAAAGGCAGGACAGATCAGAGCTTGTAGAAGTTTATTCCAACCATGTTAAGAGTCCGTCTCAAATGGGAGTCTGTGAAATTGTTAGTGCCACCAGATAGTAGGAAAGTAGGTGGATTGTTGGATTGAACATGCATTAGGAATTTCTTACATGGGTGGATGAATATATGCAAACTTTTTTTTTGCAAAATCTTTTGCAAAAGTTTGCAAAGTTGGCAAACTTTTTCTGTAAAGGGCCAGATAATATTTTAGGTTTTCATATGATTTCTATCACAGCTATGCATTATTGCCATTGTAGCATGAAAGCAGCCATTGATTATACATAAATGAATAAGTGTGGCTGTATTCCAATAAAACTATTTGCAAAGATAGATGTCAGGCTGGATTTGGCCACCGTGGTATACACCAAAGGTTAGGCTATATATGGCTTGAAAATAGTATTTATGAAACTATGAAAAATGAGATCTCAATTATCCATTTGTGTAGATGACTGATAATGATTAACAGCTTATTTCTAAATCAGTTGATTAATGAAAAAAAAGTAGTCATCTTGAAAAAAAGGCAGACTGAGACTGCCAAATTTTCTTCTACATTTGGTTTTACTTTGAGGTAACTAGCTACTTTCCTGCCCTTTGAAAACATTTAGATTAATGATTCTCGGCCATGGCTACACGATATATTCAGCTGGGGAGCTCTGAAAAATACTGATGTGTGGGTCTCACCCCTAGAGATTCTGGTTTAGTTAGTCTGAAGAACAGCCTGGGTATCAGGGTTTTTAAGAGCTCCCCAGCAGATTCTACAGCACAGCCGAGGTTGAGAACCACTGACTCATTGCTGTGGGGCCCTGAGACTGGTGTAGTTTGGTATGGAACTTCCGGGTACAGAAATTAATGGTAGGAATATGGTATAGCAGACCATTTTAAACTAACGAACTTTTGGGGGCAGCTTTTCCATATCATTAAGTTTTGTTATTTGCTGAATTATGTTTGAGAGTGCTTTTTTGATATTTCTTTGTTTATTGTGATCTCCATCTAGATTGAGTATGAGTTTATTTACTATAATGAGGCTGTTTCTTGCCTGCATGTTTTTATTTAAAATTTTTTTTTAAAGCTTGGCACCTGAGCTGACGACTATTGCCAATCTTTTTTTTTTTTTCCTTCTCCGCAAAGCCCCCCACTACATAGTTGTATGTCCTAGTTGTGAGTGCCTCTGGTTGTGCTATGTGGGATGCCACCCCAGCATGGCTTGATGAGTGGTGCTAGGTGCACGCCCAGGATCTGAACCGATGAAATCCTGGGCCACTAAAGTAGAGCACATGAACTTAACCACTCGGCCTCGGGGCTGGCCCACCTGCATTTTTTTAATTTGACACACAGCATGTTTTATTGATGGTGTTGGATACAGCTTCTGTTTTTGTTTCTTTGTTTAGTAATTCAGTATAAGTATTAATGTTATATGTGATGATTGATTGAAGAAGAACTAATGAAAGTCTCTTTAAACTTAAAAAAACCCACAAAGGATTCTGAAGGTGATACCCCTCTTCATGATGCAATAAGTAAGAAACGTGATGACATCCTGGCAGTTCTTCTGGAAGCTGGAGCAGATGTTACCATTACAAACAACAATGGATTTAATGCTCTACACCACGCTGCACTAAGAGGAAATCCCAGGTAAAGATGTCACCTTTTACTATTTTATATGCAATTTAAAAATATTTTCCTCTTGCTGGTTCTCTTTTTCTGATACTGATGAGGAAATAATTTTGGCTATCTTAGGTATTTTAAGTCATTTTAAGGTCTGTGAAAATTGTGTCTTCATTAAATAGATTAGTTTTATATGATGATATTTCTCACTGTTAAAGTAATCAAGTATTATGAAATGGCTATTTAAATATATGTTAAATATGGATATAAAGTATCAGAAATACTCGCTTATATTCTAAAGATTTAATTAAACTTCAGTTTTATGTTTCTTCAAAATCATTCTCAGGGTGCACTCTAATCATGTTATCCATTTGCATAGTAATTATTTTTTTTAACTTGCTGCTAAGTAACTATTAAATTATCTAATTCTTTATTAATATAATTAGTTATCTATACTTTAGTGTAGATGTTCTCCAACTGTTGATATAATAATAGGTGGTGTACGGAAAAAAGTATTTGATGGTTGAAGTTTGAGAAAGACTTTTGGGAAGTCACAGAATTCATAAAATATCTGCAGAGTCCCACAGAAAAGGAAAATCTTAGCTTTGCTTAAGCTAGAACTTTCTGTGAATGAATGTTTTAGAATAACTATCTTGAGAAGCATTTTAGAAAATTCTGCATTAGATGTCTTCTGTTCAATCAATCCTACATATCTCGAATGAAGGAATTGTTCACTTTGAAGTTTATTTTGATAGTTTATCTTGAATTTTTTATAGTTGAGATATAACATTATATTAGTTTCAGATATACAACATAATGATTCGATATATGTATATATTGCAAAATGATCACCACGATAAGTCCATCACCGCACGTAGAGATCTTCTGTGTGTGTTGAGAACTTTTAAGATCTGTTCTCTTCGCAACTTTCAAACGTGCAATAGACAATACAGTATTATTAACTATAGTCACCATGAATCTTATTCTTTGCTCCTATATTGCATTTTTCTATCATGTTTCCTTCTGACTTTTTGCTACTTTTTAACTTCTTAGGATCACCACTAGAGGGTGGGCACAGAGAACAAAAGGATTTTATTGCTATTGCTTGTTGGTACCCATAAAAATGGGTATATAATGTAGGATGAAATAAATGACCATATTTTAGATTATGTCTTGATTTGTTTTTCGAATTACAAATATTTGAACACTTCGTACTGACATTATGAAGGAGAGAAAACAGTATTATATGTGCCCTGCTTTTCAAATAGAAGTTGATGATGATGATGGCGATAGCACTTAACACATGCCAGGCCTCTACTAAGTGGTTAACATGCATTATCTCATTTAATCCTTTGAACAGCTTTTTGAGGTAGGTGTTAATATCCTCATTTTATAGATGACAATGTGAGGCTTACAAAGAGATGACTTGACTTAGACAAGATCACACAGTTGACTAGCAGAGTAGCTGGAACTTGAGCTAGGCCTGTCTGACTTTAGAATCGTGGTTCTTAACCACTTTATATTGCCTTTCCTGTATTATGGTCTATATGTGAGGCAAGACTGAAACACATGACAGTGAATGATTTAAGTAAGAATGTATTAATACATCACTCCCCTTGCTGCTTCTTTGTTTAGGGTTATCTTGGACTACTCTGTCACTAATTCTGAACTTCCAGTTAGTTCTAAAATTCCATTTATTCTACAAGTCTTTTCAACCCATTCCGTTTCTATTTCCATTGTTGCTGACCTAAGCACTCACCACTTTTACCCGGACCATTACAGTATCTTTCTAATTGTTCTCCCTGATTTCAGTCTTATCTCTGATTTAACTTTCATGCAATTCCCAAATTGTCATTCTAAAAGCGCAGATCTAATAGCTCCCCTCTCCTGTTTCAAAATCTTCAGTCGCTTCCTATTGTACGTGGAATAAAATCTGTGCACCTTGACTTCGCATTCAGACCCACTTCTGGTGTGTTCTGTGCCTGTCTTCCTAACTTTATCTCCCACTAATTAAAAGCTCTCTGCCCACCTTGCCCTTTAGCTACATTACACTACACTCTTTTCCTAAAATAGTCTGTCAGCTTTCTTCTCTCATTTATTTGAGCATTTTCTTTCATCAGGATGTCCTTATCCCCTTTATCTTAACCATCTTTCTTCCACAACTCCTAGATCTCATCACTGAAATTATTTTCTTTCTGCCCTGTACTTCCTTGTCTGTGTTCTTGTTTTATTGCACTTATAATCTACTTTGTGCTGTACCTTACTTAGTATGTGCCTTTTTATGTTTCTTTTAAAATTGTGGGCCCTCGTATTCATCTGTATATTTCCCACAATGCTTTCACTCCAGTAGGGACTGAGTAAGTGTTAGTCTTAATTTGATAGCACAGTGTTAGTTATCACAAGAATATTTATGATAAATTACAAAATAAGTTCTGTAGAAAAACTCTTAGTTCAAACAGAGCGATTACTTCAGATTAGAATGGTCAGAAAGAGATTTTATTGAGGGAATTTATTTAGGTTACGGTATTAAATTATAAAGTTTAAGATATGCTGAAAATTGGAATGTTTAGGAAATGAGTAACTTTCAAATATTTTGGATTGTTTCACTTTTTTGGGAGTAGGCACAGTATATTTAATAATGCTAAGTGTATACAAGGAGGAGAAAATACACTACTTCGGTTTCTTCACTTCTTGAGAATTCCTCTGAAAATTTATAACAGTGACTCCTCCAACCAGGTAATTGGTGTTGTGTGATATTTAAAAAAAAAAATTCATTCTACAACAAAGTGGTGCTTTAGTTTAAAGCTACATGACTTCTTTGTTCCTATTTCCTTAAGACATTTTATGTAGCTTGCCAGATAGAGAATGTGATTTTAATTGGACACTAAAGAGTATCAGAAGATGACACAACTTTTATATCAGTTGTAATTACAGGTTGGGTTGTTTTGAGTTCTTTTTTGCTTATCAAATTTCTTATTCTTAAAATTGGCTCTTCTTTCCTTGTGCTGACTAGTAATGTCATAAGACAGAAGGAACCGTTTTTGGTGTACTCAGAATTTTAAAAAAAGTGTTTGCCCTTAACACTTATTTGAGAAAACCAGATATAGTACATTATTATTTCCAGAACCTGATGAACTTAGCATTTTTAGATAAAATATTGAATATAATTAACAGATGTGCTAACATTTTCTCCTTTGTTATAAACATTTTATAATTTATGTAACTTAGCCTATGACCTTGAATTGTAGCATTTTAATTTGTTGTTTGTGAGCTTTGTTTTGTGTGGCAGTTATACTTCTTCAGGATTCTTGGCTTAGTTGACTTTATGTATAGTCAGTTTTAATTGCAGTTGATGGCACTTTAGTTAGTATGATTCTTAGCTATTTTTGAGGGTTTTTTTAATTAGAATGTGTATATTTTTTCTACAATAAATTATTTACATTATTGTGAGTATAATTTAATACCAGCACAAATATTTATGTGTAATTGTTTTGATTTATTATGGTTAGTAATTTGGAGAAATTTCCAAAATTTGTATGTGCATGTGTACACATGTGGAATTTAAGTATTATTCTATTCCCTAGCTTTTCTTTTAGTTAATAATAATTCTTCAGCAATAAGTCAATAACACAGTAGAGTTAATAATTATTGAATATGCTTTTCTAAAAGAAAATGTAGTTTTCCTGGTCATCAAAAATATTTCTAGATAGCCTATATTTTTCAAGAATATACTTTGAGATCTAGATTTCAAAGCTGCAGGTGAATATGGATTCCAGATTTCAAAGCTAATCTTGATATTTCCTCATAATATGACAGTAAGTGAAATAAAAACATTAAGAGAAAAGAAGTTATAAGCCATTTCTTTTCTTTCAGAATTGTGGAAGAGAATTATGTTTTTGCTATGAGACACTGAGTGCTTTGGTCATGCTTTATAAAGTTTGGAGCATTTTAGAATGCAGTTACAATGTTTTAATATAGTAGCTTTTTTTTTTTTATTTTAAGAAATCTTAACTAAGAACAATGCTGTTTGCGTATTCTGATAGTTGATATTTATAGGGATGTTTTCCCTAGAGTTTAGCCATATTATTTTTTCTTTTTGTATATGGGTAAAATTTCAGATTTAAATGAATAGCAGAAATCATTTCTATTGTTAAAAATGAAAACTAAATATCTTTGGATTAGCATTAATCAGCACATTACGCAGATACTTTTTGTGAGGATGTTGCACTTTTAGCTGCCTTTTAGTTTTTAGAGCTCCCTCTAAGCTCTAAAATGAAAATAAATTAGCATTGTTGTCTGCAGAGCTGGCAAAAAACAATTGATAGGTATTTTGGAGGTGCTGATAATATTATAAAGTTACTTTATATAATGTTATTTACAAATTTTTCTTTAATATAAATTAAATGTGAAAAGTAACAGTAAAATATGAGTCAACCACATGATGTGATATACGTGTTATGATTTCAGGTTAGTGCTAGGATAACTTCACAGGCATTTTTTCTTTCTTATCTGTCTGTTCCCAAAAGACACCTACTAAATCTTGCTGAATATGTGAGCAACTCATATTTTCCCTCTAGAATGTTATGATACCTTTAACTTTTTAAATTCTGAAATATAGTCTGGTAAATGAGACAGTGTTGAATATAGGAAGATTTGATAATCTGGACCATATCTTGGTGTTTAATGTTTCCCTTTTCTTATAAACTCTGAACATGCTGAGTGCTTTATGGTCATGTGTGTTGTTTAATGAAGGGGGTGTCATTCAGTGATTTCATTGTGTGAACATCATAAGAGTGTACTTAACACAAACCTAGATGAGGTAGCCTCATACCCCTAGGTTATTTGATACTAATCTTATGGGACCACTGTCATATGTGCAGTCCATTGTTGACCAAAATGTTGTTATGCAGTCTGTGACTGTCTGTAAAAAGTAGCTCAGAGTCTATTAAATGATAGAATACTTGTAGTATGTCCGTTTTCTCTCATATGTGTTCATACATACATACATCTACTCTCAAACACTATGTACCCTGTAATATATAAATATATTGAATGTGACTGAGATGTAATTAATATGAGCAAAGTGGCCTATTAACTTGAATGAAGTGATAAGATTTTTTTTACATATAACTTCTTTTGCCCACATTCTTTTAGGGGATGGTTTTTGCTTTAAAATAGAAGAGTGGTCAGAAGTTGAGGATTGTGTGAACATCCGGGTTTCTAATACTACTTGCCATCAGTAACCCTTCGTTAATTCTGAATGTTTGTCTCTATTAAAGAACATTACATATCTGTAGTTTTATTGCAGTCAGTAAGAAAATTAGGGGGATGTTGGATCACTTTTCTTTTTCCTCTTCCTTCATTTCTCTCCACTGAGAGAGAGGCTTGTGTGTATATATTTTTTTGTGAAGGACAAAGAAGACAGAGTGAGGAGAGTCGTAGAATGTTATTATTAGAAGAGATCTTCAGGGGCCAGCCCCGTGGCCGACTGGTTAAGTTTGTGTGCTCTGCTTTGGCGGCCCAGGGTTTTGGCAGTTTGGATCCTGGGCACAGACCTAGCACTGTTCATCAAGCCATGCTGAGGCGGCGTCCCACATGCCACAACTAGAAGCACCTACAACTAGAATATACAAGTATGTATTGCGGGACTTTGGGGAGAAGGAGAAGAAGAAGAAGATTGACAGCTGATGTTAGCTCAGGGCCAATCTTTAAAAAAAAAAAAGAAGACGTCTTCATTTTACAACTGATGGAAACAAGGATGGAGAGCTAAAATATCTACACGAGTAAAAAGTAGCAGTGCTTAGCATTTTCTTTGTTTTTTGAGGATTAAAAACTTTTGGTTCAGGTTTAGAAAAATTAGATACTTACTGTTTGTCTCTTTACAAGATATTCTGCGTTATCATCTCCTTTTTCACTTTACCCATCAATATTCAGGTAAATAGCAGTAAAATTAAAGCCAATCCTATGAAAGATAGTGACCCAACGTTTCTAGGGTATTATTTTATATAATGTTATATTTTTCTTTAAATTTAAAATATGCACATGTCCATGTGAACCACACTGTGGCATTCCCGTTATGGTTTCAGGTGATCTTCCCAGATATTTTCTTCCTTTCGAGGAAGTTTTTTATTATTATTATTATGTGGCATAGTCTAGATTTCATTACCATTTCTTTTCTAAAGGATAAGAAATTTAATACCAAGAGACCATATATAAGTATAATTGTTTTATTTGAAATCCTTAAGTTATCCACATATTTTTCATAAAGCTTTTTATAAACATTGTTGACCATAATGACTCTTCCAAGTAGAATTAACAGGAACAAATTATTTGATTTAAACCACAGTCTGAATAATTTAAATAAGTTGAAATTAGTTGATGTCCGATTGATATTCGGAAATGCAAACGCTTGGTTGTCCTGTAGTAATCAATGCATAGCTACAGCTGGTTGAAGGGGACCAAATCCATTGAAGAGGCGATTTGGTTCCATTTTACCAGCTCTAGCAAAGCATTGCAGTGCTGCCACTTTGGGATCCAGAACAGTTAAAATGCATTTTATTTGTAAAATTATGATTATGGACCATCTACTAATGTTAGAGATTCTCGTATTGGTACTTCAGTCATTGAATGTAAAATTTTCTATTTTAAACACACTTTTCCTACTGTTTCCTACTCTAATAGTGCAGAAGTCTTTACCATTTAATACATTGTTAATGCATTAAAGAATTATCAATGTACATCCTTTTTTTGGACACCTTTGCTTAATTCTTAAATGTAGACAGTAAACCTGTTTCAAAACCAACAACATTTAAAGGAACAAATAGACCTTGATGTGTTTCAGAGTGATGTTTTCCATTTATCTCAAGGCAGTAAACCAAGTAAATAAGCTAATAGGTTAGGGAAGAGTACTGCTAGTCATACTTTTCTACCGCTGCTGCTTTTTTTGGTGTTTTACTTGAGGACTAATAGCAAGTTGCTGACAGGGGGTGGAGGAATATGAGTGGCCTTAAGAAAGTACCTCTGCCCTTTGGTTTATAAATAGATCACACGTGTAGTCAGTGTATTCCTTGGACTTGTGTTGAAAGGAACTACGATGTGTGCCAGCTTCTTTTTCTTTGTTTTTGCTTATGTAGTGTTAGTAATCATCGGTTAGTAATTTAACCCTTTAAAGATCTATTTCATTGACTGAATTCTCTGTCATTTTGGGTACAGATTGCTTAGTTACTTCTCATTCTCAGCTTAATAATACATGGACTTGTGGTGGTTAGCTACAATCCATGAATTTGAATGTTAAAATCTGCCATTAAAACTCAGTATAGCAGGTTTTTGTTATTATGTGATTTCAGTGTTGCATTTCAATATTGAGAAGGGATTTCTTCTGAAATATACTTGCTTAAAATAAAAGTTTGAGAAATTATAGTTTGCCTATAAGGTAAATGCTCCCAGTGAAATGTAAAGAGTAAAGAAATAGTTACTGTTTGGAACTAAACTGGGAGAAGGTCAACACTAATTCAGGCAGTATTCAAACAATTCTCATATTAAGTATATTCTGCATCTGTTGGTTGGTAAGTATCTTGCTATTGGTGAAATTAATGTAACTACAGTTCTTTCCATCATTTATTCTAATAGAAGTGAAGCAGGTGTTAAATTGCCTGGACTTAAGTGCTGAAGATAGCAGTAAAACTGGCTTCTATTTTTACTAGTTACAGGGGAGCTGTTTAGCAGATCCAGTTGCTCAAGTGTCCTTTTGGATAGCACTTCAGTTTCGTATACTGGCCATATCGGGGCAAGGAGAGGCCATGGAAAAAAAAATAGTACAGCATTTGATAATGTCAGCATCTGTTATCCCTGTCAGAGAGACATTGAAATGTTTGAGTTACACCAGTGTCAGCAGATGCCCAGGGTTTAATATGTACTCAGTTAAAAATGAACAGCTGATCTAAGTGATGGGTGTGACATTTTGGAGTGATTGAAAGTACTCTTAGATGTGTTAAATTAAACTTGTAAACACTAGAGTCAGTAGAGAATTTTATTTTTTTTTAAATGAATAACAGATGCTGTCATTTGTTTTTCTAAGGATTATATACTCTTAATATTATAGCCACAGGATTCTTAGGCGCTGAGGTATTTTAAAGTAATTATTAAAAACCTTTATACCTATAGAATAACGAATATAATTGTTCATTATAAAACATGGGTATAGTAATACCCTTTGAGTAGTTTTATAGAGGAATCTCTGCTTTTGAGATATGTATTTTCAGATTTTGGTATTTAGGGCATGTACAGTTAAACTTGAATGGAATATGAAGCATTCCCATTCTGTTTGTGGATGACCAAAAAGAAAACGGCTATGCTTCAGTGAGTTAAGCTTTGAACTAATTTTTTCTTTGAAAATATACAATTTTTAAATAATGAGCTTTTTATAATTTCTGTAAACATACAATAATTTATATGCTACCATATCTAATAGTCATTCTCTCATTCTTTATAATTTGCTGATAAAATGAAAATCATCTTTTGACAGTTAACTATCTAGTTATCTTATTAAACAGAGAGAAAAGTAACTATAGTTAACCTTCTAGCCATTTCTATTCAACTTGTGACACAAAAAATTTTAAAAATGATTATGCTTTTTACACACATTTAAATATTCCAGTTGAAATAATACTTTTAGTAAGAAATGATTAGGATATATGAATATTATTATTAGAATTTGTATTTTCTAAGTCTATCATAGCTTAAAACAGATACTGCTTATAAGTTGTTGCTAGTATCTATTATGTATAATTTTATTAATATATAAATGTTATACAAAATAAATTTTGTATAAAAAGTATTTTGATATTTCTAACATACTATAAATAGTGGATCTATCACATTTATAAAAATTGAATTGTAGTTGCATAATACCAATAAAAGATGGTTATTTTATCTGTGTAAATTGATTTCTTGACTATAGTGTTTTCATTTTGTGTGTCCCCTTTGGAGAAAGTAAATTCAAGGATAATATAGATAATAAATTAAATTTTAAAAAAATATTTGCCAGTCTGTTACCAACATGCCCTGTTGACTTATAGCTGTGGCCCAAATTTTTTCATTTTTCATGCGTCAATCTTATGTTTTAATTTATTCTAAGTACTAACTTAGCATTTAAAGTGGAGACTGGGTTAAGGATCTGATAAACTTGAAGAGGACAAGGACCACTTTTCTTTTTTCTTTGGGAGTGGAATTTTACTTAAAAGATAGTCTTAGAATTATGACATATAGCTTTCGAAAAAGAAAACCGTTTTACAAAACTTGCTTCAGAAATTCCTCTAATATTATTAAATGATAAATTTATCAAAATGTCAATAGCTGTAAAAATGTAAATGAGGTCAGCTTTTGTTATATCTTGTTTTTCTTAACAGATCAGTCGACCCTACTAATATGACATAATTAAATTAAGGTCAAATTGTGGAAACAGAAGATAGGTCATGTGTATCCCTCATTCTTTTGTGCTAGTAATACTGTTTTCTCCTTTGTGTTCAAATTTTAATCATGAGTGCTTAATTTAAAAATGTAAAATGTAGTATGTTTTAAACTTAAAAGATTTAAAAGGAGTTTCGTGATGATTTTAAATCTATGTCAGTAGAACTCTCTTTCTTCACAAAATGTAAATCTTAGTGACATTTAGTTTCCATCTGTAAGTAGAAGGTACATTTAATGGTGTTAGTATTACCAAAGGTCGTCTCTTTGATGCTAGGTTAATTTCTCATATGAAGGTCATTCACCTAGAAAGAAGCAGGGGCAGTTTAGTTCCCTCCTGGCAGTTTATTGCCTACCAAAAATACATACTTCTTTACATTCCATAGCATTGTATGTTCATATGGGTACATAAAGAAGTATGTACTCTGAGTAGGTATTACTAAGTTCTTAGCTGTAAAAACATGATATGTTTTATTTTCCCATTTGTTAGTAAAACATTCAGCTTACAGATGTAGAACAATGGTAGATCATTTGCAGAGACTGTCAAAGACTAAACTTGATGACAGATTTACCTGAAGCATGACATTATTAGTGCCATTTATGGTTCCTTGTTCTTGGTGGACATATACTTCTAAACAGTGACCAGTTATCTGTTGAACTTTGTCCTGGTTTGGTTCTTTTTGCAAGAGATTCGTAGAATCGGTGGAGTTTTGCAGTGTGTTTCAGAAATTGGTAAGACCGGTGTAGTGTATCTTGATAGTCGTCAGAGCAAATTTCTTCATATTTTGTAATTTGCTTCTGAAACCTACAAATAGATAGTAATTAATTCAGTGAAAATTCTTTTTACAAACTAGATATCTTAGAGTGTGAGTTAAGTGAATTTTTAAAGATGATGAATTTTTTGTTAGTTTTTTTAAGGTCACAGATAAGAACTCATGATCATTTGAAAACTTCTTTGTTGTTTCCTTTGTCTTTATTAGTTACTTAACCTGAATTTTGCACTTTGGTGCTTCTGTTTAGGTTAATTGTAAATTCAAATAAATGTATAAATATCTAATTTTGGTAAGTTTAGTTCTTTAATTTTTTTAATATAAAGGGTAACTACCAGGACAGAGAACTTTTCCAAAATCTCACTTAAAAGAACTGAAAAGTGTTAGCCTATGAGTACTTGGATTTTAGCTTGATTGTTCAGCATGAAAAGAAATTATAGTTGGTATATCGCCTTTAATTATTGTGATATTAAAAGGTTAATTTAAAAGGATACTGTAAGAAATGTTCAGATTTGGGAAAGGAGGGGAAAAAAGGCAGGGAAATTTCTGCAGCCTGTGGTAAAAAGCTAGTGCAGCTCATAGAGAGCAAATCAGAACGTAGCACTGGACAGCCCAGGACTAGAGCAGTTCCAGCAGTGCAGCGTTAGAGTTTCACCATGTACATTCTGATTTATTTTTGTGGCCAACTAAGAGTAAGCATTAAAAAGTATTTTGAGATCTGCCAAGTTTCTTGGTTGACTAAAGCTTGAAATAGACAGTTAATAGTTTTTAAAAGATGGCATGCTTTGGGAGCAGGATGTGATTTATGAGGGATGCAAAATCACCATTTAATCTGAAACAATAAAGGCTAAATCTTTAATAATGTAAATGACAGTAAGGGATTTGTGCATTTTTGAGATGCAGAGTTATCAGCTGTGATACTTGAACAACATTCCTTTTTACGCTACGTAAGCTCTCTGCTTGAAGTGTGAAATTAGGCTATGCCCAGATAGAATTTAATTTAACAATAAAAACACATATCGAGTCAATAATAGATAAGCATGCAGGAAGTCGTAAGCATCCTTAAAAGTACAGGCCTTCTGCTCTGTTACCTGTAAGCTTAGTGTCATGCAGCATTTGCAGCAGGGAGAGAGAGAGTGACCCAGAGAGTCACATCAGCAGCAGCCATCTCATCTTGATTGTTTCTTCACTCTGTTCGCTGATTCAGCACTTCTTTTCATGAGCCGGGGGAAGTGAGGGGGAAGTATCATGATCACAGAACCTTACCTTTTAAGATAGATTTGAAAAACAAATGAGCAGACAAAAATAAATCAGCCATCTTTCCCTCTCCCTTCCCTTACTCTTAAAAAAGCACTACAATAGAATTGAATCAACGTTGGCCATTTGATTTGGAATGTCATATTAATTGCACAGGTATGAGTACCTTATATCTGCTGTATAGAAAGTTAAGCAACCAAGGAAGGTTGCTACAATGACCAAGAAAATGAACCTCACTTATTTTTCAGATGAAATGCTTCAGAAGAGGGGAAAAGTTTCAGAGGAAGTTAATTTTATAATCTAAAAAAGACAAACCAAAGAACAAAACGCACCTCACTCCCCCAAGTAACTCAACATTCACCCTGTTTCCCTTCGCCCACCAGAGCACATTGGGTTCTTCTGACTTCTCAGGAAATAGTCTGCATCTTTCTTGCTCTGAGATTGTTTTGGTTTTTAATTTCCAGGATTAAATGGTAGATCTATATTGAAGCTACCTTGTCATATCCAGAGGTCAAGTCTGCAAGCAAGGTCAGGACTTCCACATGGTCACTACAGAGCTTAACTTATATTCTTCCCTCAGTGGCCACAGGCTAAACTGTTACAGCTTTATAGGCAGCTAAGCATTTGAAACATGCACTCCCAGGCAAACAGGCTCTCTTGTGCCTCTCTCTTCCCTGACCATATTTAGTCAACCATAGCAAAAAATAGTCTCTCAGCTGTCGATTGTCGATCCAAAAGCTGAGGAAGCCTCTATCTTGCTTTCTGCCTATTGATTGTTCATCCTGCGGTCCAAACACTGCTTTGCCATTTGTCCTGCCCTTTTTTTTTTTTTTTTTTTTAAAGCACTGCCAAATAAAGCGGTCTCTCATGTTTCCACTTACATTTCCCAGATTTTCACTGAGCTTGCGCCGAGACTAGGAAAGCCTGATGCGGCTGTCAGTATACTTAGAAGCACTGCAGAGAAAAAAGGAAAGAGGGAAAAATCATCCTGGCTAGTAGCAAGACAGTCTTTACACAGATAGGAACAAGTAAAATCCCTCCATTGCCAAAATATATTTCATAAGCTGATTCTTTCTTGGTAAAAAATATTATGGATAATGCTATTTTACATAGATAAAGGCCTGAAGGGATTTTGTAGTGTTATCTTTAGAGCTAGTTGTTGCTGTACACGCTTTTTAAGTTCAGTGAATAATATTTGATTGAAAAATATGTAGAAATGGTAAGTAGAACCTGTATATTAAAGGTGGAAATCATTAAGGAAGAAGACAGTAGCATGTAAATGAAATCTTGAAATGCTACTTAAAACTTGTAATTTGGTGTCAATTTTAGTTAATTTTTTTTAGTGCTTAGGTGAAAAACACTCTGGAGACTTTTGAGAAATTGTGTACTTTTATATTGAAACTTTATATATAACTATTAAAATGCGTTTTATTATTGTATTTCATTTTCAAATGTGAAGTGGTTTTCCCCCTCTTCTACATGTCATTATTCTTTAATTTTCTGAAACAGCGTTTAGGCATGATCATTTCACACTTTACCACAGACTAAAATTGTCATTAACCTATCTATAACTTTGCCACAGTGTATGTCTCAAAGGAAGAATACTTTTGCTCTAAATTTTAATAGCGTATTTACAATAAATTTTAATATTGAAATTTTTTTAACCAAGGAGAAAAAATATCACGTCAAATCCAACAAACTTGTGAAGATACAATTTAAGATCTTACAAAGCTAGAAAGTGCCCAAGAGAAACCAACTGTATGCCTGGTTCTTAAGGCAAATATATTCTCTTAAGTATTCATTCAGTTAAGAATCAAGAAAAACCATTATCAGCTTTCTAAGCTCATTCTCCTACAAGGGAAATTTGTCTTTGATGTCCTTTTTGTCTTCAGCCTTTAATACCATAGCAGTTTAATTATTTTGGCTAGCTATTTTAAAACGGTGACACAAAGAATGCTTTAGATATTTGGCAGTTTTAAAGAACCAACTTTCCTAGATATTGAAATAATTTTACGCATATTGTGAGAAGATGACACGTCTCAGAGTGTAGATAGGTTAATTTTCAGGTTTCTAAATTCCCCCATATTTGCTGACCATTTTGTAGCAGTGAGAGGTTTTTTTTGTTTTTCCCCCCAGCACTTATATAATATATTAAGTGCCATGCACTCTTCTAGCCCTTTTGAATTTTTATAACAACGCTATGAGCTAAGATTTGTGATTCTTCTCGCATTTCATAGATGAGAAAACTGAGGCGTAGAAGTTAAGTAACCTGCTTAAGTCCCTAGCCATTCAGTTTGCTGTTGCCAGAGTCTGAACCCACGTAGTTTGCCTTCAGCTTCCTAGCTATTCACCACCGTGCCATGCTGCTGCTCTAGTTTGTAATGATGAACTCAGTTAGGGAGTTACCACTCTTGGGGACTGGAGCAGACATCAAAAATACAGTTATGTTGGGGCTGGCTCCGTGGCCGAGTGGTTAAGTTCGCGCGCTCCGCTGCAGGCGGCCCAGTGTTTCGTTGGTTCGAATCCTGGGCGCGGACATGGCACTGCTCATCAGACCACGCTGAGGCAGCGTCCCACATGCCACAACTAGAAGGACCCACAACGAAGAATATACAAAACAGCTATGTACGGGGGGCTTTGGGGAGAAAAAGGAAAAAATAAAATCTTTTAAAAAAAAATACAGTTATGTTGCTAATATCCTTGCCTGGGTATATTCGGAAAGATGATTATTCATTTGATTGTGCTTCGTTTGTTCCATGCAACAAAACCTGAGCTTCTTATACTAGGTATACAAAGGGGATATAAAGATAAGCAAAATGGGTTTCCCTAGCCTAGAGCATAGAAGGAAAAATAAGGACTGGCTGGTCATTTAAGAGATAATTTTAATTGTCTTTGGTTTAAAAATGATCGAGTATTCACCTGTGCAACTCTTCTGCACCCTGTATTGTCATTTTGAGCTAAGTTCAACTACATTCCCAAAGTTCTGTTAAATGAATTTAGGCTAAACTAATGGACCTTTTAATTATGCTATCTGTCAAAAAAAGAGTTTTTGGGGAAAAAAAGAAAAGCACAACAAAAAAGAATTAAAAGAACATAAGTAATGTCTATTCACTGTATCTTTTTCATTGAGAGAAAAAAGCGTCCGTATTAATTTATGAAAGTGATTACCATGGATAGTGTTTTGGTATATACCCTCGTAGACTTCTTGTCTGCATCCATTCAGATAGGGGTGTGTATTGAACAAAAACGTGTTCAGACCTGTTACGTACTAACCTGCTTTTAGCACGCCCAAAAGAACTTCTACTTGGGATTGGTCGACTTTCTTTATAAGTTCCTTTCTGGATTCTGAACCAGCATGTTTTAACTGTTATTTGAGGGATTGTTCATTAACTTAATAAGCATTTATTGAACACCTAATATGTGCTATAGTGCTATTCTATTTGTTTTTTTTTTTCCATTAAGTAATAGTAATATGTAAGGCCTCTACAGTATGGTTTGTTTGGAAAAATGTTGCCTGTCTCTGAAGAAAAGTTGCAAAGCATTGCAGGCCCTAAAAATGGACCCAGTGCCATTTGACTATTACATACCAATGCAGACAGCTGCCTGTCCCCTCTGCTTCTCAGAACTCATTTGTTCATCATTCAGCAAACGTTTGAGTGTTACCATGTGCCAGGGATTATACTAGGCACCACTATTAGTTGTTCCGGAACTTAATGCTTCTTTGGCACTATTCACAAATGCCTGCTTAACTGGTAGTAAGATCTTATCTTTAAACCATCCATGTCCTTACCCTCTTGGAAAACAACCAGATTGAGAAATAAAGAAGCGTGTTTGAGCATTAGGGAAAATATCTCCGAATGTCATATACTGTGTTCCATAGGTGAGAGTCTGTTGGCTTAATACAATGATTGATTTATTGAACTGGTAATACCCTCATCCCAGCAACTCTGTGAGCCTCTGTGCTTGCAGGATAACAACAGATTCCTCTTAATTAACTGAGGTGCTGTGGGGAACAGCCTGCAACTGGCCTTCGTGGTTCTATCATGTCTATCCCATGGGAAGAAAGGAGACAAGCCACTCAGAGCTGCTCTTGACATGAGGGTGAGGGGCCTAGGGACTGTTCTTTTTAACTTGTCCTTAGCTCACCTTGCGGGCTGGGCCCAAAGACTGGCTCTTTTTTTGAGGCCTTGTATTATTTGTTTTTGTTTGGTTGGTTTCTGTGGGAGGGGGAGGGGGTCAGGAATGAACATTAATTAGTGGCTTTCTAATTAAGATGAGAGCATTGTAGTCCTCTGTTGAAATTAATCTACCCCAAATCTCCAGTATAGAAGAATTCTAAATAGTTTATGTAGGTACTCCACCCTCAAGGAAATGGAGCATAACTTTCCACTCCTTAAGTGTAGGCTGTGCATAGTGACTTCCTTCCAAAGAGTATATAGGCTGGTTCCGTAGTATAGAAAGGGGGTAAAAGAGTATCTTCACAGTGGAGAAGCCTGACAAACACTACCTCAGCCAGGTGATCAAGGTCAACATCGAGAGCGATAAGTCACATTGATAGTGTGCACCCTTGATGTGATGTGATGAAATGGCACTTTACCTTTATGACCTTCTTCCCCAAAACTCATAATCCCAGAGTAATCATGGGAAAAACATCAGACAGATTCCACCTGAGGAACATTCTACAAAATCCCTGATTAGTACTTCTCAATGTTGTCAAAGTCATCAAAAACGAGGAGAGTCTGAGAAACTGTCACAGCTAGGGGGAGCCTAAGGAGACTTGACAACTAAACGTAATGTGGTATTCTGGAGTGGAAAAAGAACATTAAATAAAAACTAAGGAAATAGGAGTGAAGTATGGATTATAGTTAATCACAGTCAGTGCTGGTTCATTAATTGTAACAAACGTACCGTCCTCATGTAAAATGGTAACAATACGAGTGAAGAACTCTGTACTACCTTCACAATTTTCTGTAAATCTAAAACAGTTCTAAAATAAAAAGTTTCTTTACAAACAGCAACAACAAAAATTAATCAGCTCACTCCTGGCTATTGACAGTTGACTTTTGCATTCATTTTGATTTGGGCCTATCTGAAGTGTTTCTCCACAATTTATACCAATTAATCAGGAGTTGATTTTGCTGTAATTGAGTTATCAATAAAATGTTGTTTAGTCTCATGTTCTTTTATAAGTATATTAAGGCAAGAGAGTATATTTTAGAATAATTTTTATCAAGACCAGTCTTAAAAGGATTTAGTTATTTAAAGGGAAGCCTTTTTTATTTGAATGCTGATAATTTTGAGTTTGTGGAAATTGTGAAGTGGTTAGATTTGTGTGGAGGAGGGTACAGAGGATAGATGTGGAAGGGGCTGTTACAAATGTCCAGAGGAAAGGTAATGAAAGCCTATCTGCAGAGTATTGGGGTCCATGGAAAAGAGTAGTTTTAGTCTTAACAGGGAAAATCAACAGGACAAATTGAATGTGGGAGTAAAAAGGGAGGAAAGGGTCTAAATGATTCCCAGGTTTCTGACTTGGGTGACCGGTTAAATGGTAATAAGAATAACCAAAATCGAGAATATAGGAAGAGGAAAGGAAAAAATGGGGATTTGTACTATGTAGGTTATAATCTTAGAGTTGTCCTAACACTTTATATTGAAGAGTTTTAGACTCTGTAATAAAATGTTTTACCTACGTTATATCATTTAAT